ACCTTGGCCACCGGCTTCATGGAAAACTTCTCGTCCTTCAGATCAAAAGAATCAAAAGTCCTTCAAATAATGAAAATGAAAGGCAGGATGCCGTTTAGTATGTTTTAAACGCCTAAACCCTAAATCGCAGAACTTCTCCTTCTGGCCGTTGGGGCGGCCCAAGTGAGAGCAGAGGACCACGGACTTGGCACCGTTGTCGAGGGCATACTTGATGGTGGGCAGGGCCGCATCGATTCGGGCCGTGTTGGTGATGATGTTCGGGTCCTTCTTGTCCTGTGGCACGTTGAAGTCAACGCGGATGAAGACGCGCTTGTCCTTAAGGTCCACTTCGTCGATCTTCAACTTTGCCAAGGAGTTGCATGCGACGACGCTCTTGGCCGCCCGAGGCTTGATGCCCTTCTGGCGGGATGCGGCAGATGCGCCTCTCACGGCAGCGACGCTCAAGCCGGCCACGGCCAAGGCGCCCGTGACGCCCTGGGCTGCGCTGCCGGTGCTGGACGTGGATGCCAAGAAGCCCGGGGCCTGCGCAGCTACGGAGACCTCCCTCTGCACCTCGACCTGTCGGCTCCCGGAGCCGGGTGCCAGGAAGGAGAGGCCTCCCAGGGAGGCGGCACCCAAGAGGCCGCCTGCAAGGACACTCGAGGAGCGAGCCATCGCGGCTTTAAGAAGGGGCGATAGTGGAGGCGGTATGGGGGACCTGCTCGAACGGCTCCGGTGCCGACACAGCATCCAGCAAGTCTGTGGTGGCCCACCTTCCATTTTGCCTTTGCAATCTGCAAGACAAACAATCGAACCGTCCACGTCATTTGCACAACAATTTCAACACACCTAAACCGAAAGTCTGCACGTCAAAATCTCCAGCGGGTCCAAAGCAAACACCCCAAATCACCCCAACACCCTCATTACATCAGACTGGCTGTCCCCCCTTCTGCAAAGCCTGCGAGACCCTTTGATGTTGGCGCCATCCGGTGAAGGCAGTCGACAGGGTCTGCTCCCTGAAAGGCTTCAAGCATGGAGGGAAGTACTGAGGAGGATTATGATGGACCACCGTGTCACACGGCGCATGACTTGTGAGTCGCCTTTGTCTCGCTGGCGAAACCGAAACGTAACTACTGACAGGTGCCAACTGCAGTAGCCTCCACAACCCGTGAAACCCGTAAAGCCCTTCAAGTACAGCTGCCTATCCGATGCCTATCCCTGATAGTATTGCGGTGTATGCCATCGAACCTCGTCCCTGCCAGCTGTCGCTGCAGCATCGACTTGGCCAGCGTCTGTCTTCCTGCTGCCTTCAGGAAGGCCGCGACACCAATTGCAAGAATCAGGTGGCTTCAAACTGGTGACTCTTAGTTCCTGGCTCAACCATCAACTCCGCAGTTTCGCGGGCTAGTGCAGGGACTGCACAACTCTTGCCCGAAATCTTGCACCCATGAAAGCTTTGATGTTAAAGCAAGAAAATGCCAACTTCCCGGAGAAAAGCGCTGCGGACCACGGACCCAAAGATTTTGAGTTCCCCTCTTCAAAAACTCTTCGAGTAGCGAGAACGTAGACTCGCCATCCGTCCCAGACTCGAGGAAACACAGGAATCGTATCTCTTCTCAATCTCTTCTTAAAGACTTACAAGCTGTCTCAGTCCTTTCAAAGCCCCGGCTCATATCTATGGCTGAACTTCCTGAGCCTGGGCCTTGGGTACCAAAACCCCGCGTGCGCCCTCGCCTTGGTCTTGCGGCAGTCTTCGGCCCAGGCCCCGAAGGCCGTTCCAAGCAGCGACTGCATGAGGCCGGCCTCGCGCTCGCTGCGGCTCGCTGCGGCTGGGACGGTTTTGGGGCAGGGACTCGCGATGCATCGGGATGTATGCGCACCTGCAACGACTAGCTCCCAGAGTCAGAGTCCCAAAGAATTTCTGGGGTGCACGTAAGCCGGCGTAAGCGCATGCTTTGGAATGCTTGTCCAGAGTTCATATAAGGATGCATCTTCTCAGTGGATGGCCACTCCAACGGCCCGGTTTAGTAATCGTGACGACAAACTACACGACAAACTGCCAAATCGATGACAAAACTCACACTTGGACCTCCCGCCACCTGGCCAGAACGTTCATACAGACCGCGGACAAGGTACCGTTGCAACACCCAGGGACGGGTCTGTCCGGACTGTCCATAAAGAGCAACTTTCTGCAAGCCAGGCCCCGGGCAGCGGCGCGCTGTGCCGCCGCCTCCCCGCGCTGCAGGGCCGCGGACTGAAGCAGGCGCTGCCGCCTAACGAGCAAGCTGCAGAAGACTTTGAATCCAGCGGGTTCGTGGCAAAGCTCTGGGCTCCCGGAGAGGGGCGCCAGGTGGTGGGGAGTCTTTTCGAAGAAAGACTTAGTTACTCCCACTCAGCCCAATCTCCAACCGGTAGGGGCAGGCCCAGAGCTCAATAACCCAGCGCTGACCCCGGCACCTCGAAAACTCCAATGTCCAAAGCCCAAACCCTCACGGCCTTACCATGAAATCGAACCCGCAGCCCAACTCCAAGCCCCCAGGCCTGGTCGTCAGCGCATAGTCGCGCCAAGACTTGAAGGAGTTGGACCGGAGCGCCTGTCAGCAATGCTTTTGCTCTGGCTTTCAATCATCGTGGTAGCGGCCGCTGCTCCTGCTCATTCGAACGTCGATTTGCGTCTGCTGCAAATTCGTCCTTGCGGCCCTACAAGCTTAAGGCTCGATGAAGATACAACTAGGCAACAGCAACAACAGTTGCGATGAACGTTTTCTTGTTGGGCTTCATGGTGGTCTTTTGGGCGGAGTGAGATTTCCCGTGCTGACTTGCCATGCCCCAAAAAAGAAAAAGCAAAGACAAACTGAGACTCCCCGAAGAAGTGGGACCTCACCCCGTCGAAGCTCCCCTGAACGCTGACGAAGTGAGACGCGGCCCACGGGGACCTCCTGGGAACCGGCCCAATGCTTCCGCAAGTTCTGGGCGGACGGGCCGGGGCCGGGGCCGGGTGGCTCACAGAGGACGTCTTTTTTAGGCTTTAGGCTTTAGGCTTTAGGAGGCTTCGGCCTTGGGCCTTGAAGGGGGCTTTGTGGTCTAGTCGTCTAGTCCTCAGGGGCTTTGCTTTTCCAAAGTTAGCCCGTGTGCTGGGCGACTTTAGCGGAGGATTGCGGAGGCTGACGCTTGACATGGCCGTAAACTGAAGACCGTGAAGGCATGTAGAGTGACTAGCTTCAGTCAGATCTCAGAGCAGCTGACTTGTTGAATCGCAGCTATTATGGCTATGTAGCCTATCCATTTTCCTTGACAGCCTTAGCAGTCAACGCTTCCCAAGGTCCTAAACTGCTTCTGCCATAAGCAGCTAGTCTATGCTCCCATCGAAGTTGTCGAGACTCTGCGCTCACCTATATAGTAGGACCTGGTAGGAACACAACCTATGCTTTTTCTGGTTGCCGACCAACTCTACGTGTTTACGGTCCATTCTGGTGGTGCGAGTGGCCGGTTGTGGTTCGGGGACGGGCCCAAAGTGCTTCAATTTTGGGACTTCAGCGTTTGGAGGTTTTTAGCAAAGCACGGGGCCCTGATTGAAACTCAGAGCTAGTTCGACCGCCCACCTTCCTTCCCTGAGCGCGCCTCCTGGCGTGCCTCGAGCTGAGCCTCCTGGAGATGAAGGGAGTTTTCAGGGCATTTGGGCGCAGGATCCTGCAGACATCCTCCAACACTCTTTGCAATGGCAAGAGAACACCCCGCACCTGGCCTCTCCAAACCCTGAGTCACTAGCACTACCAGTTGCACCATCTATACGTCGACTGCGCCTGCGAAGGCCTCTTGCGCTGCAAGCACTAACACTAAAACTACCATCGCTACCACTGCCGCCACTATGACGATGACCCCACGGGCAGCTCGAAATGACCTAGGTTGAACAGTTAAACCTGGAATTCCAGAGCCTGCTTAAGAGGCGTTGACTGAAGCCTTTCAATGCACCAGAAACAACAAAAAGCGAGCACAAAAGCAAGAGCGCCTTCTCTTGGCGCATTCGGCCGATGAAGCTCTCCCGGAGCTCTTCCAACTCCTCCTGGCCATCCACAGCGCTGCTTTTTTGCGCAAAGGTCGACCTTAAGAGGTCCTGAACGCATCGCCTGCCTAAGAGCAGGAAACCATTAAACCACGGGTGGGCTGGGTTGGGAAACACTTTTGGCTACAACCCTGTGCAAGCGAAGTTCAAATCTTGGGGACCGGAGCCAGCACAGCAGCCGCAGCTGAGGACGTTCACAGCTGCGCGTTCTCGTGGTCTGCATGCCACTACGTTACGCCTGGCAGTGTTACTTGACACGCTCGCTGCTGCAATAGGGGGTGCATTGCAGAGCTTCCACTCCCTCGAACTTGCCTCAGTACGCTTGCAGCCTTTTGAAGAGGATGTCGCCGCGGAGTAGAGCAAATCTCTGAGACAAAATCAAAAAGCGAAGTCTGCCAGATCCGTCTTCTGGAAAAGCCCAAAACCACCGCACTGGTGAAAGCGAAGCTTCGCCGCCAATACTGTTAATAAAGTGCCATGCATAAAAACCAACCTGCGAGGAGCAAGAAGTGGCCCCGTTTGGCCGGCCGCTCCACCGCAAGAAGAAAAGAAAAGAACGTCGCGACTGGAGCCGATCGCGGAGGCCCACATGCACACAAGCAGCAAACAGCTTCTCCAGCAGCTGCCTGTAGGTCAGCGAAAACCCCGAACAGCCTTGCTGACACAGAACATGCCCGGCTTGTGTGAACAGAGCGACAGCGGCATCCTCTTTGAATTCGAAGATCTGTTCAAACGTGTGAGCAGGGCGACGGGCTCCTGCAGGTCGTTGCTTTCCATGTCGCTCCCCGTCTCCGGCGCATGCCGCGCGAAGGGGCATCTGCGGGATTAGATTCACTGGGTATGTAGATAATCCTTGGCAAAAAATCAGCAGCCAAACTGTACGCTGCAGCACTGCGCAACACTGTCAGAAAGGCACGAGCAGAGCTGCGGCCCTTCGCTGCTGCACCAACGACGGCTTTGGCATCCACCAAACAAGGCAGCTTGCTGTGGTGTTTGCGCGGATCACGAGCAGCCCATTTTAGGCCCAGCAGATAACCATGCACCTCAAGTACCCCAGAATGTGCGCTCCAACGCGCACGGCTGCGGATGACTGTCCGGAAGTCGCGCTGTCTGAGTTTAAGCCTCCGTGGGTTCCCTAGCCTCCGAAGCTCGACTGGGTCGCCAGGACTTTGTGTTAAGCGCACGAAGTCTCCACGCCGCTCGGCCAGTCTGCACACCTCGGAAGCCACAGATGCTGAGCAAGGGCTTGCGACCACCCCGAACCCAAAGTCGGGGCTGGCATCCGTGGCGATGAGCATGTTCAAAGGCAAGCGGTCCAGCCCGGCAGAAAGCAACGGTGACAGTAACAAGGTCACCAGAAACTCTGTCAGCACACTGTTCGGCAGACCTGCGGGCTCATGCTCGGGTGTTTGCATCACGAAAGCGTAGCTGTCCTTGTAGATGCTGAAAAAGCCTCGTTGCAGGAGAGCGAACCATTCCCACACACCAAGCAAAGCGTGTAAACCACGAGGGCTGGCTACACCTGTGTGCAACAAGTCCACAGTCCTCTGGATGGCCTTGCCTAAACGACCTGCAGCCGGCTCGGCGACAGGAGGTGCACTGCAGAGGTCAC